AAGCATCCTGACAAAGTTTGATGACAGGTGAGTCAAAAATGTGCACCAGAGTGTTTGTTTGTTTGTTTTGGGTTTTACGTCACATCGACACAGTATAGGTCATATCGTGACGTTCCAGCTTTACTGGTGGAGGAAGACCTCAGGTGCCCTTCTGTGCATTATTTCAGGCACAAACAGGCACCTGAGTAGAACCACCGACGTTCCGTAAGCTAGCTGGATAGCTTCCTCACATGAAAGAATCCAAAGTCCCTGTAGGGATTCGAACCCACAGCGGTGAGGGGCAAGTGGTTTGAAGTCAACGACCTTAACCACTCGGCCATGGACGCCCCACCAGAGTGTTAACAAGGATATTCCATATTTGAGCACTGTGACCTAGTTTTTGACCCCAGGTGACCCATATTCAAATTTGACCTAGAAATCATCAAATCAAACTTTCAGACCAGTTTCCAGAATATTTGGATCAAAACAGTAGCCATTAAAGTGTTAACAATACTTTTCTATTTTTAGCTCCTGTGACCTAGTTTTTCATCTGAGATGACCCATGTTCAAACTCATCCGAGCAATTACCTAGAGAAGCATCCTGACCAAGTTTGATGATAATTGAGACAAAAATGTGACCAATAGTGTTAACAAAAAACTTTTGATCTTTTTACCGAAGATCTTTAAGGATTTTTTGGTTGCCATGGCAACTAAAATTCTTTATGGAATCTAATTTTTGAACAACTTTGGTAGAGCTTCATGCATGAAAATGGGGAGGGGCCAATTTTGACCAAAGGGCATTTATTTGAACAAACTTGGTAGACATCCACTAGAAGGTGTTTCATGCCAAATATCTAATCCATAGTAATTTTGGATTGTCACAAGAAGATTTTATAGTTTTTACTATATACAAATAAGGAAAATCAATGACTTTTCCTTTGATCTTTTTGCCGTTTTTTTAGTCACACAAGGCTTGAAAAAAGACACACAAGTAAAAACGGAATGAATAGGATCAAAGAGAATTTACTGTAACCAATTGTTCTCCAAGTAACACAAGTACCTCTGGGTTTGTACAGACTGACTGACAGATGGAGGCCATTCCTATAATCCCCTTTCCACTATGCAAAATGTCAAGTTTCATTGAAATTGCATTAGTGGTATAAGGAAAGTAGTTCAGACAAACTTTAGGAATAACAAGCAATTCTCATAGTATTGCAAGCAATCCATAAGTCCCCTACCGGTTAGAACCCCAGCAACATTCTGAAGGGTCATTGGCCATTCACTTATGTTTCTATTTTAAGTAAATTTGTTGAAAAAGTTCTTTAAAAGTGATCACAGGAAACAGTTTTTATGTACAGACAGACAGATGGACTGAAGGACACTCTACAGTTATTTTTTAAACATCCCCGTTATCAAAATATCACATTTTTAAAAGCAAAATTTTTAAAAAGGAGATAACTCTTGAAATAAAGATGCAAGATGTCATGCATGATGTGAGTGTAACAAAGAACAATTAGTAATGAAGGTATGAATAATGAATGTTTATTTTGAATTTGAAGTAAATGAAAGTTAAAAGAATAAATAAGAAAAATTAAAAGTTTAAGGAGGAGATAATTCTGGAAATATGGATGCTAGATTTATAAACCTTGTCATATTATTATGATGTGGGAGTTTGAAGAAAATCCTATCATGATTGGAGAAGTTGGAGTAAGAATTAAGTTCAAAAGGGGCATAATTCTGGAAATAGTCTTGCTAGTGTATTGAACTTTCTCACAAATGTTGAGTGATAATAAGAAACATATATATGAAGTTTGAAGTAGATACATTCTTAACTATTTGTAACAATGTTATTTCTGTTGTTTATCATACGTTTTGTTGTAAATGTTCATACTATGTACATTGTATATTTGATAGAGGCTCATAGGGAAGACTGGGCATGCCTAACTATGTTGCCTCTTTAAATAAAGTCTTTATTATTATTATTATTATTATACATTCAGAAAAAAAGAAGTTATTAAAAAAAAAAAGAAGTTATTAAAAAAAAACAATATTTTTTTCATGAAAATTTTAAGTTCAAGGGAGGTAATTCTGATAAATTTTGTGCTAGAGTTGTAAACTTTGTCACATATGATGTTGTTGATGACTAGCAACTTATATTTAAAGTTTGAAGAAAATACCTTAAGAAATAAAGAACTTATAGTGAAAAAACTTAAAAACTAGAATCAGAAATCTTGATATTCAGTCTATTTGTTGCCATAGCAACCAGAATTTTCAACATAGGAAGATAAAAAAAGAATGTGCATAATTTCCAGACTGCCATCTACCCATATGTAAAGTTTCATAAAAATATTTTCAGTACTTTTTGCGTTATCACTGGATCCAGGTTATGTGTAAAATTTGCCATATTTTCAGTCTATTTGTTGCCATAGAAACCAGAATTTTCAGCATATGAAAAAAAGAAAAAGACGTGCATAATCTCCATACAGCAATCTATCCATATATCAAGTTTCATATAAATATTTTCAGTACTTTTTACATTATCGCGGGATCCAGATTATGTGTAAAATTTGCCATATTTTCAGTCTTTTTGTTGCCATAGCAACCAGAATTTTCAACATAGGAAAAAAAGAAAAAGACGTGCATAATCTCCATACTGCCATCTATCCATATATCAAGTTTCATAAAAATATTTTCAGTCCTTTTTACGTTATCGCGGGAACCAGGTTATGTGTAAAATTTCCCATATTTTCAGTCTATTTGTTGCCATAGCAACCAGAATTTTCAACATAGGAAGAAAAGAAAAAGACGTGCATAATCTCCATACTGCCATCTATCCATATATCAAGTTTCATAAAAATATTTTCAGTACTTTTTGCGTTATCGCGGGATCCAGTTTATGGACGGACGGACTGACGGACGGACAGACGGACATTCTAACAGGAGAGTAATTATGTGGCTACTCTATTGTTCTCTCTATTGTTCTTTTTAGCCACACAAAAGAAAATAGCCACATAAAAGCATTACGGAATGAATGACATCAAAGAGAAAGAACAGTTACCTATTGTCCCTCTAGCCACATAATTACTGTCCTGTGAGTGCGGACGGACTGACGGACGGACGGACAGACGGACGGAGGGTAAACCTAAAGTCCCCTCCGGTAAACCGGTAGGGGACTAAAAATTATAAAAGGGCCATAAATGGGCCAAAAATGCTGACAATATGCACAACTAGACTTGGACTTAACAGTATCGTCCATGAACAGGCTCAATCAAACCGAGCCTGCAACATTTTCAATTATGCTGTGTCGGGCTTTCTTTATGGATTCTTATTTTCTCTATTTTTTGGCACTGATAATTCCTGTAAAGTTTGGATGAAATTGCACCACCAATTTATGAGGAGTAGTACGGACAAGTTTTGTGATGTACAGACAGACAGACGTAAGTGCTCAAAGTTTGATACTAAGGTGGCTATTCTTTTGTTCCCTTTATTGTTCTTTTAGCCAAGTAAGAGAAAAAGTAGCAATATATAGAGGATATTTGTTAAGTTTAGTGTAAGATCGAAATATATTTCACCGAGTGAGCACCAAAAGGTATATTTCACGAGTGGCGCAGCCACGAGTGAAATATGAACTTTGGTGTTCACAAGGTGAAATATATTTCGATCTTACACTAAACTAAACAAATTTTCTTTTTATTATATGCAAAGAAACGTTTTAAAAAGACATTAAACCTAATACTGAATGAAAAGCGGGCCAAATAATAATACAACGTGACGTCATTTACGACGTCACGTCATTAAGTTGGTACCCAGTACTGTGCACGCTGGTATTTCACTGAAACAACGTAAGGGGCTTAAATTCAAAACAGTGAAATTATCAAAGTGGTAATTTCACTGTTTCAAACAGTGAAATTACCAGTTTTAAATCACTGATATATTTCTATAAACCACCGAAAAGCATGTAATAAAAGAGCTTACTGAATGAATAGAATCAAAGGAAATTTGCCGTTACATATTGTTCCTATAGCTAAGTATATGTTTGTATGGATGGACCGACGACGGACAAGTGATCCCTGTATGTAGCCAATACTCTATAGAGGTGACACAAAATTATGATAATTTAACCAAAATACAAATAATTTGACATTGACTGTCAAGGTCATTCAAAGCTCAAGGTCAAGGTCAGTTCAACCTTTCAGAAGGAGTTGTCCAAAAAAATGTTTTGTCAAAGTATGAAGATAATCCATTCCTTAAATACCAAGTTACAGTCAATTATATCAAAACTCGGTGAAAATTAAATAATTAAACCTTCAAGGTCAAGGTCATAAAAGAGCCAAGATAAATTTGAGTTTGATATTCATGAAGGTCTTATCCTAAAGAATGTTCTGCCAAAATATGAAGTCAATCCATTCAATAACAAAATTATACCAAGTAACACTAAAAAATGAAATTTTCAATAATTTGACCTTCAAGGTCATTAATGAGTGAAGGTCAAAATCTGTTTGATTAACTTGAAGCTCTTGTCCCAAGGGTTGTTGTTGCCAAGTATGAAGTCAATACACTAAGAACTTAAAAAGTTATTATCAAGGTACAAGTTGGCTGACAGCAATGGCAATGCTGACATGACTGCAACAATACTTATATTGCAATTTTTTTTATTTTACTAAGTTAAGGGCAATAGCTCTACAAATACTTATTAAAATCTCATGAAAACCCATACGTCCATAACTACACATCTTGACCAACATTTCTGTAAATTTTCATGACCCTAAAGTAAAATGCTTTTTGAGCTATATGCAATAAAATTGAAAATTGCCAATTTTTACTAAGTCAAGGGAAATAACTCAAACAAAACTTAATTAATCCATATGCATTTTCAAAATATCATATGATACAACATGAGAATGCACAAACAAACAGACAACAAGGACAAATCTTAATGCTACCTTAGAGTGGGGGCATAAAAAGCTCTTGCTTTTTCTTCATGAGAGGTGAGGTAAAACAGGACAACAAAATATACTTACTTAGTGGTATTAGTGTAGCTAAAACACCAAAAAGAATCATGATGACTTTTTACTGAAAACAAAAAGAAAAAAACAATTATAAATTTTCTTAAAGATATATCACATTGACTTGAAGTCGAGAAATATTAAGAATGAAAAATTATAAAGGGCAATAATTGAATACAAGAGCGATCGGTGATCACATGTGTTGCCTCATGATAGCCATAACGGGGCAAACAAAAGCCCCCGCAAGGCAGGGGCAATGCTAGACTTTTTACTTTTTCTAAAACCACACAAAGAGACGTTTAAACAAATCTTAACGTTTCCATTTTATAATTTTAATGGGTCTGTCTTGTCACATTAGATTTGTCAAAGTATGAATCCTTTTCATATTCATCCACATGTGTATTACAGAAGAAAGAAAAAAAATATATTTATACGCATTTATATATATATACTCATATCTTATCTTATCTCTTATCTCATCTCATCTCCATGAGTCAAGGTCAATTTGAATTTGATAAAATTCAATAATTGAACTTTCAAGGTCAAGGTCATTAGAGAGTCCAAGTCAATTTGAGTTTGAATAAACATGAAGGTCTTGTCCTTCAGAATGTTCTGTTATATGAAGTCAATTCATTCAATAAAAGCAAAGTCACTGCCAGTTACAGCCAAAAAAATGAAAATTTCAATAATTTAACCTTCAAAGTCAAGGTCATTTATGAGTGAAGGTCAAGGTCTATCTGGTTATTTTTAAGGGTTATCCTTGAAGATTATTATGTTCAAGTTTGAAGACAATCCATTCAAAAATAACAAAGTTACAGCCAATAATAGCAAAAAAAATGAAAATTTCAATAATTTGACCTTCAAAGTCAAGGTAATTTATGAGTGAAGGTTAAGGTCTGTCTAGATATTTTTAAAGGGCTATCCTTGAAGATTATTATGTTCAAGTTTGAAGACAATCCATTCAAAATAACAAAAAGTTAAAGCCAATGATCATTAGAGAGCCCAAGTCAATTTGAGTTTGAATAAACATGAAGGTCTTGTCCTTCAGAATGTTCTGTTATATGAAGTCAATTCATTCAATAAAAGCAAAGTCACTGCCAGTTACAGCCAAAAACTAGAAATGTGTCCATAGGACACGGGTGCCCCCACCGCGCCACTGTTCTGTCAATCTTTTTACTAAGTCAAGGGAAATAACTCTACAAATACTGGATAAATCCACAAGCGAAACCCAAGGTGCAAATCTAAATATGCTGAGCAACCTGCCCATAAGGTTTAATGACTATGTCAAATCCTTTTTGAGTAATTGCGACACAAGTTGAAAATTGCAAAAAAATTCTAAGTGAAGGGCAATAACTCTAAAAATACTAAATAAATCCAGACGAAAATATCTGATGCACAACTGCACATGCTGATCAACATTCCTGTAAAGTTTCATGACTCTAGGTCAAATACTTTTTGAGTTACATGCGACACAAGTTGAAAATTGCAAAATTTTACTAAGTCAAGGGCAATAACTCTGAAAATACTAAAAATATCCAGACGAAAATACCCAGGTGCACAACAACACATGCTGATCAACATTCCTGTAAAGTTTCATGACTCTAGGTCAAATACTTTTTGAGTTACATGCGACACAAGTTGAAAATTGCAAAATTTTACTAAGTCAAGGGCAATAGCTCTACAAATACTGAAAATATCCAGACGAAAATACCCAGGTGCACAACTACACATGCTGATCAACATTTCTGTAAAGTTTCATGACTCCAGGTGAAATACTTTTTGAGTTACATGCGACACAAGTTGAAAATTGCAAAATTTTACTAAGTCAAGGGCAATAACTCTAAAAATACTAAAAATATCCAGACGAAAATACCCAGGTGCACAACAACACATGCTGATCAACATTCCTGTAAAAGTTTCATGAATCTATGTCAAATCCTTTTTGAGTTACATGCGACACAAGTTGAAAATTGCAAAATTTTACTAAGTCAAGGGCAATAACTCTAAAAATACTTACAAATATCCAGACGAAAATACCCAGGTACACAACTGCATATGCTGATCAAAATTCCTGTAAAGTTTCATGACTCTAGGTCAAATACTTTTTGAGTTACTTGCCACACAAAAGTGAACGGACGGACGGACGGAAGGACGGACGGACAGACAAGGGTAAATCTAAATGCCCGCCACTTAAGTGGGGGCACAAAAAGTTATGATCAAGGTACAAGTTTGCGGACGGCAACAGCAACGTCAAAAAAAGTCGAGCTAAAAATAGACTAAACTTTGTCAAAATACAATACAAAGTTATCCCCCCCCTAACTTTTTTTAGCTTTGAAACTTGACCTGCATATCTTACTAGCGACACTTCCTATATTTGAAGTTTCAAATGATAATCTGTTCTAGTTTTAGAAATATTAAAGTACATGTTAAAATTTCAGAACATTTTCTAAGTCAATTTCTGCCCTTCAAGTGTGACCTTGACCTTAAGCTGGCACAAGGGTAACATACGTTCAGCACATTGACCAGTTTGGGTGAACATTTGAGTCAAGTTTGAAGAAAATTCTTTCCATAAGTATAGAATTTATAGAGCGGACACGACATAGTGTCTAGTATTGATCGTATGTAAATTTGAAGACTTAAAAAGGGGCATTACTTTGTCAAAATGCTATACAGAGTTATGAAACTTGACATGCATTTCTTACTTGTGACACATCATATATGTTTTTAGTTTCAAGCAAATACCTGTGCTAGTTTCAGAAATATTCAAGTTCATGTTAAAATTTAAGAACATTTTCTAAGTCAATTTTTGACCTTCAAGTGTGACCTTGACCTTAAGCCTGCACTAATGTAACATGGGTTCTGCACATAACCTTCCTGAGGTGAACATTTGAGTGAAGTTTGAAGAAAATTCTTCCATTAGTATAGGATTTATAGAGCGGACACGACATATTGTCTAATATTTGATTGAATGTAAATTTGAATACTTAAAAAGGAGCGTAACTTTGTAAAAATGCAATACAGAGTTATGAAACTTGACCTGCATATCTTAATTGTGACACTTCATATATATTTTAAGTTTCAAGCAAATACCTTTTTTAGTTTCAGAAATATTCAAATACATATTAAAATTTAAGAATATTTTCTAAGTCAATTTTTGACCTTCAAGTGTGACCTTGACCTTAAGCCGGCAAAAGGGTAACATCGGTTCTGCACATAACCTTGTTGAGGTGAACTTTTGAGCCAAGATTAAAGAAAATCTTTCAATTAGTGTAGAACTTACAGAGCGGACATGACATACTGTCTAATATTTGATTGTTTGATACTTGACCTTCGATTGTGACCTTGACCTTGAGCTGACACATGGGCAACGTGGGTTCTGCACATCCCCTTGTTCAGGTCAACATTTGATCCAAGTTTGAAGAAAATCCTTCTATTGGTATAGGATTTATAGAGCGGACACTATAATGGAGACGGACCGACCGACTGACGCAACAATCCATTATAGCCCCCCCCCCCCCCCCACACACACATTTTGTGGTGGGGGTATAATGAAGCAAGATTGAGTTAGATATCTGTTTAGACAAAAAAGTAATAATAAATCAAAATAACCTATCAAGAAAGTTTGACGTCATCATTATTTTGAGCGCATTGCTTCGAGTAATTAAAAATATAATGACTCATATGTATTTTCTAAATTGTTTATCGTGTAATGCAAAGGAGTTGATGATACATTTCAGGGTTTTACGGGACGCAGAATTCTGCGTCCCTATACGCATAAATTTTGACATGTATGCATATAAGTTATCCACTTGCGTCCAAGTGTACGCACAAAAATAATTCTAGCCAATAGATATTATTGTTTCTGACCCGACATGATTTTATCTCTTTCTTCTCGAAGCTCATAAAATTCCATTTAAACCTAATGCTTGCATTGTTTATTCGGAAGTTAACAAAATTGAAATCTACTGCGCATGCTATTTGCAAGTGCCCGCTGCAGAAATTGATGACGTTTATCGTGCAAGCTACAGTAACTGATGACGTTTACCGTAAAATCTATTTTTGGTAGCTGTTTTTGGTTTTTCTATTGCTATATTTAGACGGACTATTTATAACAAGCAATTACTATTGGTTAGCGTATCCAATGTCGATCTACCAGTTCGGCGATTGTATTTTGTACATGAACCGCGATAATAAAAAATGCAGTGCTTTTTGCAAAGTGTTATATGAAAAAGTGTTAGAAATTAAGTCACTGGGTATGTTATTATCGTTGGTGTTATAAATATATATAATGGTTTCGGCGAACTTAACTTTTGACTGGGACATCAAGTATGTCCCAGCTTATGAGGAGGTGCAAAAGCGGTTTTGTCAGCCTTTTGTTTTATGATATTTTTAAAAACGCAACATATTTAGCTGACTGGTCTGTAAAGATATCTATTGTGTGTTTACTTGTTCAGCTAAAATATTTACAAATAGATCAGTACAAATTTTCAGTCTGTTGGTGTAATCACCTTGTCAATAACAAAATATGCTACTAAAACTTGACATTCCAGCCACTCAAAGACTATAGCCTTGGAAATAGCACATGATATTATTGTAAAGGGCTACTAAAATGCTATAAAAAACCTAGTGATAAAAGATATTGAAATCATATACTTCTTATGAAAACAGTACAATATACATGCATATTTCTTACAGGGTAAATAAACGATTTTAAGCAAAATAGAGTGGTCTTCATAGTCTTTTATAGTGAATATAATTTTGGACCCCTAAAATTCAGGCCTGGACCCCTACTTTTCTAGGCTGTGCATCCACTGGACCCCTAAAATTTCAAAGAGATGTAAAACCCTGACATTTTATGTAAATTTCTATTGTTCAATTACCATTGCAGACATAAATAAGTAGTCAATGTGAAGTATATTACAACAGACGAAAGGGAAGACAATAGCTTTTATTTATATAATATACGTTCCCTATTTAAGAAGTGTGTTCAGTTACTGCTGTTTTATAGAAAACAACATTACTTTTACAAGTTCATAGTTAAATTTGCGGCACTGAACCTTCTT